CAATGTAGCTGGAGAGGAAGGCACTGAAGGCAAGTTATTTTTTCTTTGTCATTGAAATAGGTCATCTTTTTTGCTGATTTCAATGAAACTAAAGCATTTAAATGCAAATTATATGTTGTAGCTCCTGCATAGAGAGCCCCAAGGAGACCCAGGCCACCCACCAAGGGAACACAGCTAGACAGGATGACAAAAGCTATGGGAAGGAGAATGCCCATAGCTGTTGCTGAAGGAAAAAGAAGGCCTCATGAACCTGTTCAAGCAGCCAAGTTTGCATCCGAGGCTGGTGTCATCATTTGGGATAAGGTTCCTGTCCTACCTCATTGGAAATTATACAAGAACGACAATGAACATTACAAAAATTTTGTGGGAAAGCTCTCTGTAAGTGCATTACTGTTTTTATGATAAACTTGTATATCTGCTTAACCTGAATTGACTAACTAAATATGGAATTGTCAAATGACTAGGGGCGCTTGGCCATTAACACTAACGACAAGCCAATAGAGGATGCTTGCACCGATATGCTGTGCTCTGGGGTGCGACAAAGGCGTTATCGGCTCAAGAAGAAATACTTCAATGGTGTAAGTGCAAATGAGATTAGGACAACTTCTCCAGTTGAATGCATGACTGATGAACAGTGGTGGGAACTAGTTGCAAATGGGTATATTCTTTCTCAGTCAGTTTCCAGTGGATCTTATCATTTTTAACCTATGATCTCATCTCACATGTCATTCTCCTTTAGGAAACAAGTGAAAAGAACAAGACTAATCGCGGTAAAGTCAAGTATCATCAGACTACCGGCTCTCGCAGCTATGTGGCACACTTGCATGCATATGTAAGTAACTGATTCTCGACATAGCACTGACTTTGTATCATAAGACTGACAAAACTTTGCTGTAATTGAATCTCTATGAAACAGAAGCATGGGAGGAACAATGCAGAGCCCAGCACAGCGCAAGATGAAGAACTTGATGTGGTGGAGGCCTTCGAGACATGCCATACCAGCTCCAAACATGGTCTAAGTGAACCAGCAAGAGAAGCATTGGTAAGTCCCGACATCTGTTTCGGTGCGCCATTTTGTCCATTAATTGGATAGCATGTCCATTATTAAAATGCATCCTGTTTGGCATATGTGTTCTACACTTTTGCTATGCTGTCATGAAAGTCTGACATGGATACATTAAAATGATTTGTGATTGATTCAGGATTCTTTTTCTCTCAATTATATAGACTGCTGTGAAATTTATCTGCCTTCTCTTATTTACTGTGGTTGAGAAGATCAATAATAAATGGAAATCTGTTATTTGGGAGGTTGATATGTGAACCATTAAGTCCCCTGTAATTTTGCTCAAGTGCTGATGTTCACTGAATGAGAGAAAAAATACTAAGAACATGAAATTTCTGTCTCTTTGCCCCAACCATTGCTCATTAAAGTATAAATTGTTCCTTCCGTACATTGCTATATCTAATTAAGTTGTTCCTTCATTATATGTATCTATCTTTCTACTCGCCATCTTGGGTTCGGTCTTTCTACAATATGCAAGTATCACTTTGTGCATATTATGTTGTCATCCGCTTAATGTCGACACAAACATGAACCTAATATACAATTATCACTTTGTTTAATGTCTTGACACAAACATGAACCGAATATGCAATTATCACTTTGTGCATATCTATCTTTCTACTCTTTTTGCTGCTCACCTCAAATGCTTTGATCCCAAACATGAACTCAACATTTTAATTTACCTTACTTGACTGCAAATAAGATTCCATTTTGCTTGATAACAAGTCGATAACAATCTGCAAATAAAATACATCTTGTGTGATATTTGCACCTCACTTTAATTCAATAAGTATGAACTAATGATGGCTCATTGTTGTTTCAGTCCAACATGGAAGCTTTGAGGGCAAAGACCACTATTCTTTGAAGGAGAGGCGAGAGTATCCATGTGTAGGTTGTGTCACAGACGCTCTCCAAGAACAGCTCAAATAGTTTCAAGAATGTTGGCATCAAACCAAAGGTGGCATCCTCCAACTCAAAGAAAGACATCAAAAGAAGAGCTTGGGAACAACTAGCACCTGAAGCTAAAGAGGTCTTTGTACAAGATGAAATCGATGAGCCCAAGAAGAGAACTCAAGAAGTCAAGAAAAGATGGAGAGGACACAAAGGGAGATGGAGGATATGAAGAAGTCGATGAAGCAAAACCAAAAGGCAATGGAGGAGAACAATGCGCCGCTCAAGCGTATCTTGTCCCCTGAATTCTTCGACATGAACCGTTGCCACCGGGTCTGTGCTACCAAGGGCTCTGTGTTGTCTTCTTCCGGTGCTTGGCAAGGGGTCTATGTTGTTTGGCTGATTTTGTTTAGTCTAAAACCTATGTTGCTGGTGTTTGACAACTTTATATTATTAGTTGTGATAATGTGAACTGAGATCAATCTAGAACCTGGAATGTGATGTCAAGTTAGTTATATATGAACTGAGTTTATTAGTGTTGAGTCAGTTGTATGGTGACTGGATTGCTGGATCTATTAAGTTATGGAAGCATTTAGTCATTTTAATATTATTTGCATTTTGTAAAAAAAGTAGCATGTGCATCTATGATGAAAATTCTAGGTTCTGTGATGTTATTGCAATGTGATCAGTGACGAAAATTTTGTTTTCTGTCACCTTATCGTAATTTTAATCTGTGACGAAGATTCTGGGTTCTGTGATGAAAATGTAAACCACTCACAGGAAGCCACGTGGACTAATCATAGCGTGCCATGTGGCCCAAAAAGCGCCATGTGGACCCACCACGTCAGCTGGCCACGTCACCTGCCACGTGGACGTGCCACGTGCGCAAGACACGTCAGCTGCCAGCGTGGCAAGCGCCATTTGGTAACCTGACGGAGCAGCATGTTATGACGAAAACCTGGGAACATCAATGACGAAAACTCTTCGTCATTGAATGATATCCATTCAGTGACGAAACAAGGCATTTCGTCACAGTTGTTGATCAATGACGCTCATTCCATGACGAATCTGTTTTCGTCACAAGTTCGTCATAGAAGAACTTTGGCGACGATTTTGGAGTCTTCCGTGACGAAAGGGGAGCGTCATTGATGAGCACTTCCCTAGTAGTGAAAGGTTGTGTTGATCGAATGTTCGTCTCTTTTTACAATAACTAGGGTCTAATATTTATACCCAGAACCTAAACATGAATCCTACTCAAATACGACTCATTACAATTCTTGAAATAAAAGAAAACTTCCTAACTTAATAATAGCTTGGACCCTAATTTTTCTTATTCGTAGAGTCCGACACATCTCCCTGGCGCCACTCAAGTATAGCCCATTGACGCCGTCTGCTGACGTCATCCATAAAATAGCCGATTTTGACATTACATCTAAATCAGCTGATATCGATTCTCGTCCAATCAATTCCTTGATGACACAATCCTGGAAGCTTCGAGTTCCCACGTTCTTCTTCCCAAATTTTGGTGTAAACACTATATAAATAAAGTACTAACATCTACGATACCGAATAAGAACCATTAACTTAATTATGAAGTGTATTTTCATAGTAGAACTATTTGAAGTTCTAAAAATTCAACCAAATTTAAGAAAATATTTCAAATAAAAAAAATACATTCATTTTAGAACAAATGGAGTGTTATTATTATATAAATCGTAGGAAATATTTTGGTTAGGGGACAGTGGTGTTTGAGGCTGCGCGATTTTCACATCATATGTGCGGTAACTTGGGTTTTCAAAGTTGATTAAAAATTTGGAATTGCTTGTGGTATTCATTGCATTGTAAGCCGTAGCCCGTTTTCATCAGAAGCAACATAATGCGCTTCTCCAGTCCCCTGCAGACGCCGTCACATATAGGATGAGTGGATGACAAAAGTATTCAACATGTGTTAAACCATATAAAAGCCATGTAAAAGGACGATGGAATTTCTTTCCACGTGTGATGGAATTCAGCGAGGTCCACCTTGGCGTACAATGTGGGTCGTCCAAAGCAAGGTGCCAATCATAAGAAAATGCACCGGCAATCGCATTCAAGCGCCATCAGGGAACTTGACTGACTCAGAAGTCAGAAGAATCGTTTTGTTTGCAAGACCGTGCTTTCCTCGGGATCATCATGCCGTGTTTTAATCGGCTCTCAAGCGGTCAAGCCTCTCGTCTCTAGCACAGTACCGAACACACACACACCTGCTCACCAACGGAGGGGCTCGGAGGACAGGCCTGACAAACATAACTACAAAATAATAACTAAAAGTTCACAATAATACAGCAGTGGCACATGTCCACGCCAGTAAGACACATCAACACAAAGAAGGCTTCCAGTTATTACGGAGCATGTATGTACAAAGTTTGGAGAAGCCATCGACGACATGAGTGATGACTCCTTCACTGAGAAACTGGAATTTACTAAGGGCGCTAAGTTAGAAGCGAAGAGGATGAACAACACTCAAGTGCCGCAAGTCGGCAAAGTGGAGGAAAAAAGAAATCCGAAACAATTCCAAAGACTTCAAAACGAGAAGCTCCGCAGCCGACCAACACGGACGGGAAACAGGTTACAGCAGGAATGGCTACACCAGATCTGATACACCAAGTCTGTGCAGTTAGCAGTTTGAAGTCAACCTCGTTGAGCCCTTCACTCGCGAGTCACGAACCAGCACACCACCTATCCACTGCATGTTTTATTATATGTTCAGGCATTCTTCCTGTTTACGTCGACAAATTCAAACAGAAATACAATCAGAAACTGGAAGTGCACGTGCACCCTACGACGCCAAGACACGAAAGGGATGGACATTACAAATCGTAGAACTCTTGCTCTTCCTGGAATTTGGCAGCTTCGGATTGAAGGTTCACTGATTCACGCCTAGTGCTGGGCACCCAACATATGTTAGTTCAGCTCCTAAGAACTGAGCATCCCGTCTCGTTAGAAAAGTTAGTCTTACAAACATGAGATTGTATCTTCTCATCGATAATAAACTGAAACAGTAGATTCATTGTGGTTTTGCAGCACATAATCGAGCCTTGCCAGGGTTGAGCAGAGATTCTGACATTATCCAACCCTGAAACACAAAACACAATATGATGGACAGGGTTGAGCCTTGCAATGTGGTTGGTTGTCATTGTCAGAACTAACTCGCATATATGATGGACAGGTGCATTTATCATAAAGATAGGGAGTTTTTACCTGTTCCCTAGCTTTCTTCTTGAATGTTGCATATGATGAGGAAACAATTTTGCAAGATTCAGCGATGTGCGCCAGGAAATCCATGTTTCTAGAGTACAGATGCTCTGATCGGTCAGGGTTTGCCTGCTTCTGCTTCTGCTTCAGCCTCCGTGCATGTGATGCATTAATAAAATGCAGTAGCACATGAGCCTGCGCAGCAGAAACACATATAACGAAACCAAAACATATATACCAATTACATCGCAGTGAGAAATGCTTACATGGAAAGCAGCTTTGATGATATCGTCTGATTTTGCTTGGTCCTTGAGCAAAGCATATACTTTATCCTTTGTTGGGTTATATGTTACCATGTATCTCTCATCCTATAATTAAGAGATACCAAATGTTAGTCATACCAAAAGAACAAATTCAAAATGCAAAATCACTTCACATATATGATAGCACCGAGTAGTTTCTGGATATGTTTTTTAATTGATGGTGCCCAGAGAGGGCGTACCTCAAACAGAGGTCTTATGGCAAGAAATGAAGCTGGCTCTTGAAATGCTTCTCCAAATCTTGACCCTGAAATACAGTTGAAATAGAATATAAAAAACCGTCACTAGTATCTCAAGAAAGGAACACCATTTGAATAACACTTGCAATTGCACAAACCTATTGCGACTGGCTCATGCCGCCAAGGTGGATTAAATATCGTCTCCTGTGAGTTTCCTTCCTTCAAGGAGGGAATGTGACCTGCATCATAGAAAATTAAAGAATCAAGAACTTGATAAATACAATTCAAATTTTTGAGTTAATACTTCTAGAGATCTAGAAAAGTCGGAAACAAGTTTCACGCTTGGAATAAGACTGGACTATGTACGAATGAAAAGGGAAAATAAGATTGTCTTTTAAAATCTTTGGACTCCATTTTCAGTATGCATCTTCTATAATCCATAGCACTGCAGCATCGCATTTAAAAAATAAGCAAATTTTCCTACAAGTTTCAGCATTCATCAAAAAAATCTTAGGTGCTAGCTTTTATATATGATATATAAAGCCCTACAGTTTTCAAACGAAATACCACTTCAATGGCCCAAAGAACAATTGAATATGGACCCACCAAGCAGGTATTTAAGCACTTTCCAGAACAATTCGAACATAAGTTTTCAAGTTTGACCTACCAGTTTTAATGAAAGAATCCACTGCGACGGTAAACCTCGCCCTGTTTAGGGTATTCAGCACAACAGATCTCACCTGTTAATCAACAATATCAAATTATTAAACATAGAGTCAGTATAGCTGATACACTAGAGGAATGAAAGCAAACCTCTTGATATGAACTCAGGAGATATCCACAGGATAGGAAGGCAAATGAAGTCACCAGTGAGGGATTCCTTTTTGAGATAAAGATACTCAGACCAGTACCAAGCTTCAGATGTAATAAACAAAAAGGAGTCAGTATAGCTGACAAATCATGTTAACATATGAGAACAATAACATTTGAAAGCAAGCAGAAGCCATTCTGTATTGATTGTAGTGCAGTGAAAAGGCAAACCAAATTTTGTCAAACATGAGCACCTTATACTAACAAAAAAAGGGTGTTTCATGAATATGTTAATTTGGCATGCCACCATGCAACAAGAATGATTTAGAGGTAACAGCATGATTAATTGATTTTTACCAGATCTGCAATGTTCCCAACAGATTCGCCTTTAGCAGTGACATCTCCAATGTTTTCTCCTCTCGCATAGGCCTTATAGATTGGAGTGCGAGTTGAAGTTGATGTAACAGCAGCGACATTCTACATGTTGCATGAAACAGAAAGGATGTTCTTCATCAATACTATTAAAACAGAATAAGTCCAATTTGAAAATGCTGGTGCAGGTGAGGGCAAACCTTTACAACATTGGCTACGCAAGCCATAGGCAAGAAAAACTGAGGGAATGCAGCAGTAGTTAATTCTATCCCAGCTCCTATTTCCAGCAACAGATCACTAGTGTACCGTAACTGCATATGATTTTTGTTTCAGTTCATTTCCGTTATTGATATATATATTATGGGACCAATAAATTGGAAATGGATGTTGAAAAAAGTGAACGGCATGTTTACCTGCTTTAAGTCATAGTCAAACTTCTTTCCTTGACGTGCAAAAAGCATTTTTCCGACTCGCCCAGCACCGTCCTGCGGTACAGGTGCAATGACAACCATATTACATTACAAGCCAGCTATGACATCCACATGATTCCTAAGCATTAAAGTTTGGTATAGTAGGAGAACAGAGTACGTGTTAATATGGCTAATATCTTGTGTGCAACAACAAAAAACCAATAGTTAATGAAGGGTATTCTCTCTGGATAGTTAGATTATTGACTTGAATACATTATGCAGACTGAGAAATGAGAGCTCTGAATGAACATAATATTTTTACCTTGAGGATCCAATTGATAGCAATAGCACCTGGTGTCACCTTGCTTTGAGAGACTCCAACAGAACTCAGCAACGTTCTTGTTGTAAACACCCCCATCGCTCCACCAAAGAAGTGCTGAATAATGAACAAACCATTAAGTTTCAATTGATTTTAGAATACCAGTAAAAGCTGACTGGTGAGCATAAGTTCCACAAAATACCTTCAGAGCCCTCCAAGTCATGTAAGGTACATATGAAGGAGTAACACTGTCTGGAAACCCTTCAGGCACAACATACGATCTTATGAATGCCATTATTTCCTGCAACAATATTCCACAGTATACTTCATTTTTTAAGGTCCGTAATTATGATCACTTGGAACAAATAAGCTTAAATTTCCACATGCCATTAAACAAAATACGGGACTATGGAGAACAAAAGGTCGAGGCAAGCGTGAATTCCATTCCATTTTTTCAAAACTTGGAACATAACGTAGCTCCAAAATTAATACTCCCTCCATCTCAAATTGTAAGTCATTCCAAGAATCTTGGAGAGTCAAAGTTTTTCAAGTTTGACCAAATTTATATAACAAAATAATAATATTTATCATACCAAGTAAGTATCATTAGATTCTTCATTAGTTATATTTTCATATTATACCTATTTGATGTCATCAATCTTTGTGTTTCTCTCTATAATTTTAGTCAAACTTGAAAAAGTTTGACTCTCCAAGATTCTTGGAATGACTTACAATTTGGGATAGAGAGAGTAGTAACATAAGTCGTTATCATATTAAGCTGGAAGTAATTTTCCTAACACTAGATAAAAATAAATGAGGCTCCAACAATCAAGTGGCTGAGAGCCTGAGGCCAACGTCTCTCACTTATCTAGGGCTTTTCCATAGGGACCAACGTAGTGAGACCAATAAATCTCACATCTAAATCAACCCAAGTTTCCAATTCTCTACAGTTCACGAGAACCAACTAAAACAAAAATTAATTCACGGCCTCGGAATTCACGACCACAACTAACTTCCCCAATTTCGTGTCAACTTACCTCGAAATTACCGGGGCTACTCCAATTTTAGTGTGCATCGTCCTATGAACGGGTAAACACATGTATCACAACCCTCGTGCATATGCATACCGATTAGATCAATACCCAAATATCGAATCAGCAATCTGATATATGACTTCTATTTACAAAAACCAATTGAACAAACACCCTAGCAAACCAAACAAGTCTCCCAAATCAAACGCTCGTAACCGCAGCATAGCCATTTTGCAAACTGTAACCAACACCAAACCTAACAGAAAGCCACGATTCCACCCAGCTGCTCACCTCGGCAGGCGGAAGCGGCGACTGCAGCGGCACGGCCCTGACGGAGGCCCCAGCGGGGACGGCGGCCCCGCCCCCGCCCCGCCCCTTCGCGGCCCCGCCGTCTACCACGTAGCTCCACCGCCTCCCGTCCACCTCCTCCAGGCACAGGAACCCCTGCAGCGCCGCGGCGGGCGCCGGCCTCTCCGTGGACGCTCGCGCCTCGGCGGGCTGCGACGGGATCGTGGACCGCATGACATCGCGCACAGCCAGCCGCGTCTCGGGCGGCGGCAGCGTGATGGTCTGCGTGGCGGAGCGCTTCAGCCCCACCGCTGGCGCCATGGCTGCCGCGTCCGGAGGACGGAGGCGACGCCGAGGCCGAGACCGAGGTCGAGGTCGAGGCGTAGTCAGGTGGGCGGAAGAAAAATTACTTGGCGAGTGGTCGCGATGGGCGCAGAGGTGGCTGGCAGTGGTTAGAGAGAGGAGAGAGTTATAAAAGGCGGACGACGCGAACAATGCCAAGATGGAGAGGAGGCGAGCGGCTTTTATGGCCCCGTTTGGCAGGAATTAAATTTTTAGAAAAATGTTCCTGAAAGAAATCGATTATAATTCGAAGCAAGGTTTTTTTTTTCAATTACTTCCTCTATTCTAAAATAAATTTAATTTCTTTTCGATGAGACAAAAGGAGTACACGGTACTCATCTCACTATTATGAGTGGGCGATTTGAAAAAATGAGACTCGAAACATCGGTCGTTTGCAGATTTGACATTGGACCCATATTCATAGACACAAATAGACCTACTTGTCATCCACCCGAGTGTCATAAAAAATAGGACTCGAAACATCTATCGTTTGCAGATTTAACATTGGACCCACATTCATAGACACAGATAGACCACTTGTCATCCACCCGAGTGTCATCATAATCAAGCAGTCAATCTTTCAAGTGTCATTTTTGCAATTTTTTCATTATGAGCACCTCATAAGCACTAAATGTCAGGGACCAATATTAGGATATCCAAAGAGTAGGAGCTAATAACAATCAAGGTTGATTCATCCAAGTAGTCAAGAGCGCGACTACAGCTCCAATCAACCCCTAGATACGCAAGCTCCGCCTCGCCCGGCCTCTAGGGGCGGGCTCTGCCTCGCCCGACACCGAGGCCATGGGCTCCGTCTCGCCTGACCTCTGAGGGCTGACTCCGCCTCGTCCGGCCTCTGAGGGCGGGCTACGCCTCGCTCGAACGAGCTCCGCCTCGCCCGATACCGAGACCGCAGGCTCCGCCTCGCCCGACCTTTAAGGGCTGGCTCCGCCTCGTCCGACACCGAGGCCGCGGGCTCCACCTTGTCCGACCCTTGGGTTTGTGCTCCGCCTTGCTCAGCCTCTGAGGGCAGGCTCCGCCTCGCTCGACCCTTAGGGGCGGGCTCTGCCTCGCCCAACCTTTGAGGGCGGGCTCCGCCTCGGGCGACCCTTGGGGGTGGGCTCCACCTCGCTCGATCTCTGAGGGCGGGCTCCGCCTCGCCTAACACCGAGGCCACGAGCTCCGCCTCGTCCGACCTCTAAGGGCTGGCTCCGTCTCGCCCGACCTCTAAGGGCTGGCTCCACCTCACCCGGCCTCTGGGGGCGGACTCCGCCTCGCTCGACATCGAGGTCGCGGGCTCCACCTCACCCGATCTCTGAGGGCTGGCTTCGTCTCGCCCGACCTCTGAGGGCTAGCTCCATCTCGCCTGACCCTTGGGTTTACGCTCCACCTCGCCCAGCCTCTGGGGGACTCTGCCTCGATCAACCCTGAGGCCGAGGGATCTGTCTCGTCAATGGAGACCCATACCACCGCCAACCACTCCAGGTCCAAACGAATGGGCCTGGTGAAAGGATCAAGATGCCCAAGAGAGAAGTGAATTTGGCTAATTCTAAATTCTTTATAATAATTAAGACCTACACTTATCCCACTTCACCCCTTGTGCTTAGAATGTGTTTCTATTGTTCTACCGTACAAAAGTTTAGCACCATAAGTTCCAATCCTACTCTAGCATGGCAATTTTAGAAATGTAAAGACATGAAATGAATTGGTCAAATGTAAATGCTTAAAGTAAAGAGGAGGAAAGGAACGTGGCGATGTTTTACCGAGGTATCGGATAGTCGTCACTCCCCACTAGTCCTCGTTGGAGCACCCGCGCAAGGGTGTAGCTCCCCCTTGATCCGTGTAAGGATCAAGTGCTCTCTACAGGCTGATTCTTCGACACTCCATCGTGGTGAATCGTCCACAACCACTCACAACTTGAGTTGGGTCATCCACGAGCTCACCGGATGATCACCAAACTCTCAAACACCACCGAACCGTCTAGGTGATGACGATCACCAAGAGTAATAAGTACAAACTCTCACTTGACCACGACAAGCTTAATGAGAAGGGTGGATGCACACTTGCTACTCTCCTTGCACTAATGAGGACCTTAATCTTGGATTCTCAAATCTCAATCCCCTCACTAGGCTCTTGCTCTCACTTGTACTCTCAAGGTGTTGTCCAGCTGAATAAATGGGCAAGAGGCCTCTCTTGGATGAGTAGGGTAAGTATTTATACCCGCTCATTCAAAACATAACGTTTGGAGGCTGAGTCAACATTCTGCGGGGTGACCGGACGCTCCGGTCAGTTATCTCCGCCACTGTATCGGAAAGAGCCGTTAAGTTCTGATCGGACTCTGGCCTGCGTCCGGTCAAGAAAACGCTCTCTAGAACCTTACTGATGTTGACCGGACGTTGGCACCTAGAGTCTGGTTACTTCACTGTTCAGCGTCCGGTCAGTTATCGGATCCTAACCAGCGTCCGGTCAAGAAAATCCCTCTCTGGAACCTCTCTGGAGTTGATCGGACACATGACCCCAGCATCCGGTCCACTTTCACTCAACGTCCGGTCAGTACCAGATGACTTCAATTGATCAAATGAACTGACCGAACTCACACTCCAACATCCGGTCAATCATTTGACCCTACATTCACTTCCAACTCGACATCCTATGTGAATGAAGTTTGCTCCAATTGATCTTATGGCTATTCCTGAGCTACCTAGTACTAGTTTTGATAAGCGTGCACCACACCTAACCTGCTAGACTCACCTAGGTCAAAGTACTAGTCCATACCCTCCTTAATAGTACGGCCAAATAAAAAAACAAAGTCCTAAACTACTCTAAGTGACTCTCCAACACCAAACGACACTTAGAACTAGTTCATCCTTAACTTTATCGTCCATCTTTTAAAAACCGAAACGATTTCCATCGTCAGGGGTACGACCACCATGATTACCCAATCAATTGCCATTACCATGACCTAACTCAAATTATCTCTATAAAACATACGTTGATCATAGTAATCTCGTATTGTCATTAATCACTGAAACCCAACTAGAGGTCTAGATGTTTTCATCTGGGTCAAAGCTCTGACACTAGGGAGGTGACCAAGACGCCCTGATATAACCCGTGGTCGTAACGGGTCATACCTGGGGACTCACATCAGGAACAACATCGGACGTACCGGTGTTGTTCTGTCTAACCCTCGTATGAGCATTGACAGGCGCATGAGCGCCATGACCGGGAGACAACGCCTGCACATGGCCCCAGTGACGGACAGGGCCGCGACGTGGAGCTATCACTGTTGACGTCTACAAGGTCGGCGGGACCTGCGTGAAGGAAAAGAAGGACACGATGATCCTAGAGGACATCTTCTCCTTCTCCTTCTCCTCTTTTCCCCCTAATATAACCCGTGCTTTCCCTTGACCTATAAAAGGGAAAGCAAGACGTCCCATAAGAGGCATCGCAACACATCATATCAATTCGGACTCGAACCCATCAAACCCCAAACCGATCAAAACACACAAGCATACAGCCGGGAAGCAATCGAGCTCTCGGCACCCGTTCACTCCTCTCACCAGAGACTTGGGACATGTCCCTGTTTCGACCGTTTGTAACCCCTACTACGAACTTTCAGTGCTAGTAACACGAGCAACAGCAACGAACTGGACATAGGGGCATTCTGCCCGAACTAGTATAAACCTCGTGTCCTCTTAACACACCATCCGAGCCAGACGCGCAATATTAGAAATTTACTAGTCGATGGCAACTCGAAACACCGACACCAAGTTAGCATATTAGATTGACGAATCACACCATACATCATCGACCACGGGAAGATTAATGACGTTAGGTTTAAAATAAATTCAAAAACCAATCACCTGTATTAACTATTTGACTTAAACTCAGATGAACAAGTTCACTGTAAAATTCGTAACCACCTAGTGAAAGCTCTAGTTTGGTTTTGATAAATTGATGAAACTATAAATGCTAACCTAGTTTATCAAGTGATCATGAGATAGGTAGCACACTCCAAGTGGTGAAGCAAATGAAGATCATAGCATGATGATGATGATGGCATGGTGATGATCAAGTGCTTCGGCTTGAAAAGAAGAAAGAGAAAAACAAAAAGCTCAAGGCAAAGGTATATTTTGTAGGAGCCATTTTATTTTGGTGATCAAGACACTTAGTGAGTGTGATCACATTTAGGATTGATATCCGTACTATTAAGAGGGGTGAAACTCGTATCGGAATACGGTTATCAAAGTGCCACTAGATACTCTAACTCATTGCATATGTATTTAGGATCTAGTGGAATGCTAACACCCTTAAAATATTTGTGAAAATATGCTAACACATGTGTACAAGGTGATACACTTGGTGGTTGGCATATTTGAGCAAGGGTGAAGAAGTTAAAGGTGAAAATAAGTTAGTGTCATATAGTGACCGGACGCTGGACCTCTGGGGGACCGACGCATCCGGCCATGTATGGCAGTGAAGGCGCCAACATCGGTGAATTGGTCTTCATTGTTATTCATTCTTGTGATTGATTGGTTCCTTCCTCGATAAGGCGGTATAACCCTCTTGATTACTCTCTTTACATTTATTGTAAATTAGTTGTCAAGCTCTTTAGTGTAGCTAGTCGTGAGAGCTTGTTTGCTTGGTTGGTGTGGCTCTTTAGTTAGCATTTGAGAGCACACTAACATAGGGTAGTGTTATAGCTTTTGTATGGATAGATACTATCTGACTAGAATTGTGGTAGGTGGCTTGTATTTTGAGTAGGCTAGCGCAACACTTGCTTCGCCTTATATTTGTCTAACTATTTTGTTAAATGTTGTTGTAGAAATTTTATTAGGCTATTCACCTCTACTCTAGTCATTAGAACCTTTTACCTGGTGATTGATGATTGTAATCTTGATGTTCATTTATGAATGAATGAATCCAATCAGTCGAAAAAAAATCGTAACCGTTTGAGCTCGCTTTGTTCGCAATTCAACTAG